GGTTTATCGTTTAATTAATTAATAGATACGTTAATTAATCTTTTGATTGCTCTGATTAGGTCGATAGTAGTTATTTAAGAGTGCTTATATAGATATGATTGCTTTTTATAGTGGAATAAGGGTAGCCTTATTAATATCTAGACGTTATAAACCGGGCTTATAACTATCGCACGTTAAATAGCACGTAGATAATTAACTTAGTAGAGCAGAAATCTCGTATATCTGTATTATATTAAGTTATATTTGTAAGAGTCTCTTATACCCTTAATTTAGATGGTAAAGACTCTGTTATAGGTACTAGATTATTTAGATCCCATCCGGTCTTTTCCGGTATCCGCCCCTATTATACACGAAGCCCTGAGTTATAGCGTGGATCCCCCCTAGATCCCCTATAGACTATGTCGTGGTCCGTATACATATACGATAACCCGCCCCCTAGTCCCCCCTTTTACTACTATTACTCCCCTAGGAAGCGCTTATATAGGCGTTTACTAATAATAGCAAAACGCAGTATAACACTCTCCACGATCTTATTTTAAGTGCGGTTATCTTAAACCGCCTCCTCGGCGTGATAGTGGGTAATAGACGCCTTATTAAAGCCCCGGCGGTTCTAAGCCTAGTAGCCACTCTTAGCCTTTTCTAATACGATCTATAGCTCCTTAAACTTACCCTATTATTAAGTCAGTAAAATACACTCTCCTAAGTGCTAGGGGTTATTAATAAGCTTCGTATCGGTACAGTAACCGTGTTTAGCTACCTTGGTTAAACAGAGCTATATACGCTCCCCTAATAGTTTAGCCTTAAGGGTTATCTAGAGTCTTATTAATGATCTACGGAGTAGCTTATAAGGAAGGGGTTATAATTACTTACCTACACGTAACCCTAAGAGCTATTACTTTAGTAATATTCGTATTTATACGAGTTAACGGTATATGCCTCCTTATAGGCGCTAAGAATAATATAGTCGCGACTACTATCTAGCTTAAGCTAAAGAAAATACTACGTATAACGGTTATAAGGAGCGTGGAGGCGGGTGCCCTTTATATCCTTCTTAACTATACACGTAGTGTCCTCTTATGGCTTATTATCGCCTTTATAAGCGTCGGCTATATCCTTATCCTTATCGATATTATTAACCGTGTCCGGGTCTGTATCGTCCTCGTCCTCGCCCTCCTTTTTCTCCCTATCGTTACTTATAATAACCTTACCCCCCTCTCCATCCAAGAACCCCTTAAAGGAATTATCATTAATTATGATAATATTAGTATTATTATTCTCTTTATACCCAGTAGGAGTATACTCGCTGTCCGAAGACAGCTCGATAACAGGACTATTAACCGCGTTTACCCTAGTAGGAGTATTATTATTATTATTATTATTATTATTAGGGGTATTATTATAGTTACCTAATAGCTAACACAGGGCTATATCCTTCTAGAGGAGATTTTATAAATACTCTATAATAAGCGCTAACTAGTCGTTATACAGACTATTAGATATAATCATAAAGGGCGTTAGTACCTTAATACTAGAAATATAGTTAATATTATAGATAAAGACCACCTCTTATTATTTAGCAATCTCCGATAGCAGATATAAAGAGCCACATACTAATATAATAAGAGCTATAAATATATACTTATATTAGGAAAGAAAAACATAAGAGGAAGGTTATACGAGAAAATAGTTAATATTATTATTATTATTATAGTAAGAGGTTCACCAATCCTCAAAAACCATGTATACCTTCCTTATATCTATTACGACTCTATATTATACCTAGTATTAGACCTCCTACCTCCTTTTATTCCTACCATAATAAAAACCGTGGTCATCGGCAAAACTACTACAGGTAATCTTTCTATATATTTTAAAGATATTGTAGGCATCTTATTTAGTTATATAATAGTTATTTAGACGTTTTCTTTTTTACACGTTAAAGTCATTTATACGGTTCTTAGGACCTCTATACGTAAATAATATCTTAGTTCGAGGTAGCTATATCTACGGTTTAAAGGTAAATACTTAGTATCCTCCTCGAGGTATTCTACTAGGTATAAACAAACTAGTCTATATAAAGATAGTTATCCTAAAGAGTTTCGTAATAATATAGATTTCCTTTACTAGATAACTAATCCATCTTTAATTATCCGCCCTTAGACTTCTGAAGATAGGAGTATTTTTCGAGAGGGGTATATTATCAGAATATATAGTACTTATACCTCGCTATAGGACTAGTATTAGCCTTAGATATACATAGGGGGATCGTGGTTAGTGTTAGACTATTAAAGATATAACGCGTTGAGATCTAATAAGCTAGTTAGCTTAGAAGCAAGCTTAGAAGACTAGTTTAGACGTAAACCTAGTCCTAAGGAGACCTCCCGCTACCTACTTAGTTAGAAGACCTTAGGTAGGTATAAAGAAGGGTGTATCTTCTACAGTTCGAGGAGTCTTAAGGGAAAAAGACTCAACGAATAATCTTATCACGATACCCTCTCTTTAGTTCCTACTAGACCCTAAGTAATCTTATATCTTCCCGTAGTTATCTATTACTCCTTATAGTATACCTATAACAGATAGCAAGGTAGTAGTAGTAAGCTAGGTACTGCGATTTAATTAGTTATAAAAGTGGGTCCATGACCGAACCATAGTCGGAATAACCAAGTAGTATAGTCGGAATATCAGTTCTCTAGATTAACATAGTCATCCTAGTAGGAGGTAGATTTACCGCATATGGCGCGCTCCTACGCTACCTAATCTCTCTAGTTAATAAGTGTAGTATCGGCTGTCTTCTATTCGGCGTTAAATATATTAGAAGATATCTTCGCTTATTTATCGGTTAATTAATTAATTAAGAGGTTGGTCGGTAAGTTAATTAATTGCTTAATTACTCTGATCAGGTTAATAATAGTTATTTATAAGTACTTAAAACGTGATTGTTTTTTTTCGTAGAATAGGGTAGCCTTATTAATATCTATAGTCTAGGCGTTACAAACCGGGCTTATAACTATCGCATGTTAAAAAGCACTTATAATAGTAAACCTAATCGAGTGGAAATCTTATATATATATATATACTATAGTAAGTTATATCTATATAAGTCTCTTATACCCTTAGTTTAGGTGCTAAAGACTCTGTTATGGGTACTATATTATTTATATCCTATCCGGTCTTTCCCGGTATCTACCCTTCTTATATCCTGATACCCGACGTCCCCGAGGCCCGAAGCCCTTAGTCAGGCATAGTCTGCCAGGCATAGTCTATGCCTATACGATAATATACCGGTCTGGAGAACCGATATATTATAAGACGAGAGTTGCGAAATATACTGTTATTGGAATCTCCGATTAGGCCCTGGTCGACAACGCTGATAAGCTGGCGGAAAACTACTAAGGTGTTATAAAAATACATACAAATACATAAAAATACACAAAAGTACTAAGCTAATGATATATGAACCCCTTTTATATAATATTTTCAATATAACTGCATTTTTTATGCTTTCCTCTATCCACCAGGTACTACGCTAGGCAGGGGTGCCTCTTAGCGTTTATTAGTAGTTTTTCTACTAAGATAGCCGCATTTTATATATAAAACCTTAATAGCACCTAAAAGGTAGTAATAAAAGAAAATCCTACTAGGATAAGTTAGGGTAGGATCTATTATTAGCCGCGCTATAGCAGAGGCGATAGCGAGGCTAATATTAAAGCTATTCGTAACTACAATAATAATATCCTTAACTAAGACGATAACGATATTATCCTAGTACCCGATAGCACTATTCCGATCCGGTATATTATCTACCCTTTTATAATCTATTCTACACTTATATACCCTAGACCCGATATATTAATATAGGTAGTAGTTAATACGATATAATATAATAGTAAAAAGAGTATTTTCTTTTATCTATTAGACTTCACGTCGCATTTTACGGAATCGGATCAACATTCCCCCAAAGGATACTTCACTTATTACATAAAAAGATACATTAAGGGTACGGGCTAGCGTTAAAATAGCGTCTTAGCTACGTTTATATCTTTTATATAATCCCTAGGAGTTTTCCGCTAGCTTGTGAGCGTTGTCGAATGGGGCCGTACTCGTGTAGGGAGCGCGTTTCTTCCAGGTTAAAGGCACGTCCTCTCTACGGACATAGATATATACCTTAACGTTCAGAACTCCCACCCTGAAACGGGTGCTGCTGCAGCTTCTTGTATCCCAATGCACGTAACAGAACTTTGTCGGCCATAACGTTCTCCCTGCCGTACCATCTCTTACAACGCTTGCTGTCTACAGCATACCGTAAAAACCCACCACTCTTACCATAGGCGCTAGTCACGTAGCGCCCTATCGCCCTATCACCTTAAAAATACAACCAATGATTAAGAGACTTTTTATAAGGTAGTTATAACTTTAATATTAAAGTAAAATTCAGCGTTTTTAATGATTTTAGTATCTTAAGCTAACTGTTTTCGATATAGCTTACTTTTATAAATAATATAGTGCTCGAGTCGATAGATATTAACATACGGACACCACGCTAAAAGCGTAGCCCTTAAAAACGACTTCTTAGCGCCCGTAAATATACTTATCCAAAGCTAATACTACGTATAAAGGGTATCTATAACGATCGCTATCGTATATCTATTCTTTAGTTCTTTAAACACTATTGTATCCCTATTATAAAGCCTTTAGCTACCGCTAAGCAGCCACCTAAGCGACTACATAACAATAAAGGTAATAGCCTTATCGCTCCAGGGCTATAAAGACTAACCTATCACGAAGCTAGCACGTTCTTTAAGATACTAGCGAGTACGGTTAAGACCTAATAGCATAATCGCTTTACTATTTTAGGTATAGGAACTGGTATCTATACTTAGTAGCGCCCCGAGTTTCCTAAACTTCAATACGGCTTATATAACGCCTTTAAACGGCGTTATAATAAGTTACGACCTATTAACGTAGGCTGGCTATATCGCTAGGTAAGGCGGCTCTTCTAAGAGGCGTATCCTAATAGCCCTCGCGATATCTTTATTTTCTTAGCTTCGTGGCTTTGTGGATTCCTCCGCCGATACAAGATTATATATTGGCGTATCACTAAGCAGGCTACTAAGCCCCTAGCAGATCTCCTCCTAGCTATTATAAGCTTCCTTTCGTTTATCCAGCGGAATTAACGTTAAGGTATAAATACACGACCTACTACACTAACAGTGGCTTAGCCGAATAATTTCTGGTTAGTTATAGTGTCTCTAAGGAAGGAAAAACTACTTAGTATTCCTGGCCGCCGCTTTACGGATAATCGAATTATTAATATAGCTAAAACGCTAATCTCTTTTAAATGTCTAAACGGCTATTCGTACGATACTAAGGATATTAAGATAGTTAGTGCTTAGACGGAGCGGGGTAGTTAGGATAAGCGGTAGGCTACCTTAGTGGTATTTATCTTCGTAGATAGTATCTAAAGAATTAAGCCTAAGCTTATATTCCATAAGAAGCCTAATAGGACTATTAGGAAGAATAAAGAGTATCTGTATTTTAGCGGCATTACTATAGAATTTAATAACTCTACTTATAATAACGAGGTCCTCTTTACCCGCTAGGTAAAAAAAGAATTAGTCCTTATTATAGGTAATTATGAATTTACGCTTCTAATAGACGTAGCGTCCTTCTATAAGACCCCTACTATTAAAGAGGTCCTTAAACTAGGCAAAATACTACCTTATATAATACCTCTAGGCTATATATCGTACGTATAACTATTAGATATGTATATTAACGGTCCGCTTAAGTCTCTGCTTCGTAAAGCTACCCATATCGTTATAGATGGGAGGGATTAATAGTAAGGTAATACTAATAAACTATAGACCTCTCGGAGTATAGGATTATAATAACCTTTATTATAGGCGAGGTAATTACTACCCTATAAAAGGATAAGAAGGACCTAATCTAGTAGTCGTTTAAGGAGTATAGTATATTAGTTAATCCTAATAGCAGCGAAGATTACGTTATAAAGATTAAAGATATCTTAGTAGAAGATATTAAGCTAGGCGGCTTTAACCTAAATATCTTTAAAAAGGAGGAGGATATATACGAGATACCTAGTTACGTTAACGGTCTCCCTAAAGAGTTTATATCGTTTAAGGAAGTATTAAATCTGCCTAGAAACAGGTATAGATCTATAAACGTGAAGACGTTATAATCTTTATTACGGGTAAAAGGTATAAAGATTATAGATAGGAAGATAGAATTAGTAGCACGCGTTAAGGCTAGGGACGAAAAGGAGCGTGAGGTGCTTAAGATAGATAGTTAAGATAATAGCGAAGACGATTAATATATTAATAGGGCCGATATAATAGATTGATTAGCTTAAAGGCACCTCTATTATCTAAAAGAATACTATTCCCTCTCTCCACTATTATAATACTTTAAGGCGAGTATCCTACTTATCCTACCTCTTCCTATATATCTACGGGCGGCACTAAACCACCTTTCCAGCTAATAGGAAGTCTTTAATTAACGGCCTACTACGCTCTCGAACCTATCCGTAATATATATCGTCGTTTTTAATCCCCGTAAAAGATATACCGGGGGTAACGCTAAGGGTACAGGACTTTTTATATCGTAGCTTATAATCGATATTAAGCTCGAACAGCTCATCTTCTTTAGTGAAGTCGTCGGTTATAACTAGTATTAATATATTAGCCGAGTATTAAAAGGCCGCCTATAAGGTATAAAAAAAGGGCAGTCAATATATAAACGATATCGAGGAACCCGTTAGACACTAAACTCGGCTATATTAAGAGCTTTTTTCGGGGACTATTATAGTAGTTACACGTGGGCGTTTAAGTGATATTTTCAATCAAGGGCTAACGTCTAGGTTAGGATTTTACGGGGAAGTGGGGACCTGCCTTATACGGTATAGCGCCTATGGTGAGAGTGGTGGGTTTTTACGGTATCTCACTTGTCTAAATAGTCGCAAATGCTAGAGTCCACATTGTAGTGGATACCGCCACAGGTTTTAATTCAGGATAGCGACGGACATCTCTGGGCTTGGCTCTCTATGGAGTTGGTGATTTCTCGATAGACTCCCTCAGCAGTTGGATGCTCGGCACAGACATCCGCCTTAAATCCGTATACTTGCCATAAGTGGTCTCTTGTTGTGGGCCCTATTGTAGCCACGAAGGTGCTGCGGTCGTCCTCTTTAATTTTGGCTTTAGCCCGGCCAGTAACCTCGTCCAGGATTCCCAGGCCACGTAGCATTTCGCCACACCCTGTTGGGGAAAACACGACAATCCATCTCATGGGCCGCCCCGAAGTAGCCTCTAGAACGTGGACGAAGTTTTCTGCGAACGACCTCATCACATTCGTACTGTAGACGACCACCTCGGTCACCTCGATACGTCTGTCGACCGGTAATGCAGGGTCCATGAGTACCTTTGGGATGACGTCCCGGCGCTGCTCGCCGACAAGAAAGAGAAGAGGGGGCTTGGGACTCCGGCCGGCATAGAAGGCACCATAGTGGTCGAGGATAAATGGAGCTAGAGCGTCGCCCACCCCAGTATGGGAGCCGTGAACCTGAAGGCCAGGGGTCTGCGGTATGGCCTTGAGTGCGCGGGTCGTCGCGGGGCCGACGCTATAAACAGGTACCGACTGGATGTTCGGCCACGACGGTTCACCAGCAGTTCCTTCGCGGAGTTCGTCAGTAGAAGGGTACCACCACGAATATGTGACCTTGGCTTGCAAGAAAATGTGGCCTACTAACCCATTGGCTCCGCGACTAGGTTGGCGAAGGTTTCAACCGCACGTTGTGAAGTGAAGACAAGACCTCCAAACGAGGCAGTCTCATGGATGCCGACCTTGCCGTGCCTGAGCACGTCTCGCGCAAACTCCAGGCCATCGTCTTTAAACTCATGTTGCAGGACAGGGACAAATGTCGGTTCGAACAGAGGACCACCATCTCGATGCTCGGAGAACAGTTCCTCATAGGAGTCCGCTGTTGCAGACTTTGTCTTAAGAAGAAAAACCGGGACTGCGTCTCGCTTGTTGGAGGTAAGCTGAACGGATGTCATTGCGATTTTAAAGCGACTACAGTAGTTGTTGAGAACACATATATTCCACATTACGTCAGAGTCCTGAAGATTTGTTGTCTTGCGTTTTGTTAGATGCCCTCAGCCACCTTAGGTGTGATAAACTATAGGACTACCGGTCTTCCGCCACCCCCTGTTCGGTCTTCCGGGTCTTCTTAAACCCTTTCTGGATTAGATGATCCACTATATCTCCACCACCCGAAATTAGGTGGGTTTCCTAGGTCTTTCGATATACACAAACATACTTAAAAGAAAAAGTACGAGTCCAGCTATATAACTACCTTAGCCCGTTATTAAAGCTATTACCACCACTCTAGCCGTGCCCGTGATATCCACCCTATTATTACTGCTACTAACTACTCTATAGCTAGTGGTTAGTGGTTAGTTTTGCTGTAATTTGGCTAACTTTTAGAGGCTAGAGGTGACTCGTACTATTATTTTGAATATATTTATATATATTATAAAACCTAGAATTTCGGGTCGTGGAGATATAGTAGATTATCTAATCCAGAAAGGGTTTAAGAAGACCCGGAAGACCGAAGAGGGGTTGGCGGAAGACCAGTACTTAAACTATGGGACCGTCTAGAGAGGCACGAGCTTAGCAGGTTGCCCTACGGGCAGCGCCGCTAAGCTCGCCCACCCCCCCCCCCCCCCTTAAAGGAGGGGGGGGGGAACAGGGGGGCCGGGGCTAATTATATAACCTACTCTATAATACTAAATACCCGTAGATATCCGAACATAACTATAAAACGCCTGCTTTTTATTTTCTATAGCTATTTATTAGTTCCTTTTACGCTATAACGACTTTCTTATTATTATTTCTTTAATATCGTAAAAAGCTGGTTTTTGTTATATTAATCCCGCTTTATCTCTCGTAATTAACAGTCGATTTCTCCCTATAGTCGTTAGTATTAGCTTCTTTTATTCCCCTATATTCCTCTTCTACTCTCTCCTAGTTATAAATAGTATCGTCGTTAAGTAAGTAATAGGCATAAAGAATTACTATACCCCCCCCTAAACGCGTTAATACTAATTAGTAGCTTACCTTATAGGTAAGGCCGCTATATTCGCCCCTACGGGGGGCTACGTATATAACCCGATTATCTAACTATATTATATAAATAGATATACGAACTAATATAGATAAGTATTATTATTTTATAGATAGTGGCTACTTATTACTAATGACTTCTAAAATATTTTAAAAATATAAAATCACGAAGATGCTGTCTACTAATGTATATATATATATATATACTTCTAACCCCTTTGTAGATTTATCTTTATTTTACTTCACTTATTCTCTTTACTCTATTTTATTTTATATTCACTTTATTCTAATAGTAGTTATACCTTTTATTAATAAGGAAGAGTATAGAGGTTTTCCCCGGACTTTACCCGGGGTTTCCCCTCTATAGCCACCCGAGGGGGACTATATAGCCTAAATAGGCTCCAATAGATTAGATAGGATAACCGAGTAAGATAGATAATAATAATAATAATCTTTTTATTAGTTTTTTAGACTTAATTATATTTATATTTAATTTTATTTATTATTCAATTAGAAAGAGTATAATTAGCGTAGAGCATAGTAATATAGTCTGAATATTAAATTTATAGTCGGTCTATTATAACAGGTGTTTTTTATTATGCTTAAGATATAATTTCTTTATATATTTAAGGAAGTATATACTATTCTTTATCTTTATCTTATTTATAATTATATCTGTTATCTTTATCTTCATTTTACTCTATATCATCTATTATCTATTTTATCTATCTTATATACTATACTTTATAGTAAGTTAATTCTAATAGTTTATATAATTCTCTATTTGGTTTTTAGACTTAATTCTACTTATATTTGATTCAACTTTCCTACTATAGTTTTATTCTAACTTCCTAATATAGTCGCTATTTTACTTATCTACTTATTATCTATTTTATATTCTCTTTATATTCCAGTTTCTATTCTATTTTTTTTTCTGTTTTAATTCTATTTTATATTCTATTTTGTATTCTATTTGTATTCTATTTCTTTTCCTATTGTTATTCTATTCTTTATTCTATTCTTATTATCTGTTACGGGTTAGCCCCGATATAGAGGATCCGGCTATACTCCGGATCTTCCTGGCTGCGCGCTTAGTTAACGGACCTATATCGCCCAGCCATCGCCACTATATAGCTAGCCTAGCGCTATAGACTTTTCTCCTTTTTCTTTTTCCTTCCTTAGTTCTAGATAATCTATTATTACGACCTTACTTGTACCACGACCTATAACTAGTCGTTAATATATCTAGAACTTAGCGACACCCACGCGCTACGCTAGCGATAGACTAAGATCGGAATACTACCGCCTAGCGACCTATTAGAATTAAATAGGTCGTGGAGTAGATAAGCCGATGCTTCGAAGAAAACGACTAAGCCTTAAACGTAAGGCTAGGCCCTCTCCACGAGTAATACGCCGATATTAACGCTAGGCTTACCCTAATATAAAAGCACTACTCGGAGATACGCTAGTTTATTAAACGATAACGCGCGAGGGAAGAAGCCGATAAGCGATAAGGCCTATTAGTCGAATAGCTTATAGCCCGGCTTTTAGGATCGCCTACTCCGTAGAACCTAATACCACTAAACCTGAATATTCCGGCCCCCTTATAGACCCCGATAATTCTTACGCTAATAGAATCCACGCTATCTTTAGTCCCCTCGCTAGCGCTTTAGCCGACGATAATGACGGTAGTACCCCGTAAGACCGTTAATAGCCCGGCGAAGTTTTTAGGAAAAAGAGTATACTATAGCGCGTAAGCCTACACGATACGGTAGAAGCTTATAATTAATAATAACCTATTCTAGAATAATATATAAGCTTAGTATACTATCTATAATTACCTAAGACGTAAGGTATAATAGGTAGTATCGGCCTTTTATAAAAGTGATAGGCCGGGTAAGCTTATAAACCCTAACGACTTTATAGTATACCTTAATTATACTTACTTTAACCCTACGGAATAGTTACGAGCCGCTTAAGCCCTATACACGATTCGATAACGGTCCGATAAGTCGTTTACTGCCTTTTTACCCTGCTTTAAAAGATAGATCGCCCTCGCGGGCGGTACCGAGTAGGAAGCTACCGTATAGATCTTATTCCTTAAAGGAGTAATTACCTCTTAACTTAGGGATAAGCTTATTTCGGCCTATATTCTTACCGATAACTATACCGCGTGGGTTAACGGTATATAAGAGATCGCCGGGAACCTTAAGGGTTATTAGTTTAAGCGGAATTACGATAAACGAGCTTAAGAGTATATAACTATAAAGAAGGACGCTGATAACGATACGAAGATAGGTAGAGTAAACCGTGTTAGTAATAGGAAAGCGAAGTAGGAGACTTAAAGGTGCTATAACTATAATAAGAAAGGGTATATCGTACGGAATTATAAGAAACTAAAGGAAAACTAAAAGACGGTTCGAAAGGTTAAAAAGTCTTATACCCAGGATCACGATAAGAGCGATAACGAGTCTATTAATAATGACAACTCGGAAAAAGAATAGCTCTAACGTAAAGACGGGCGTTAAAGCTAATAGCAGCGATATAGCGGGAGTAGGAAACGTTTAAAGTATATGCTAGTAATAACCCTATACTTATTATAGCTAGAGTAAATAAATAGCGTGCCCTCGCCCTTATTAATACTAGTTACGACTACTATACCGCTATAAGTGAACGGTTTACTTAAAGACTTTAATTACTATTAGTCGATAAGACGAATCGACTACTAAATAGCTTCTCGGAAGCTACTAGAACTATTAGTAGCGCGGGAATCGCTATCTACGAGCTTAAGATTAGCGGCTACTCGTAAAGACTATTTATATACGTGGTAACTAGGCTTAATTAAGACGTATTCCTCGGGAAGCCTTAAATAGAATAGAATAATATAATATATTACGCTAAGAATAAATAACTTTACTACGGAGTAGCTAAACTAAAAATACGACTCTACTATAAAAAGGAACCGGCTAGATTATACGCTATCCGCGATACCTATTTAGTTACTAGATCTATATTCGTGGGCTTTATCCGATAATTATAATAGAAGGGCAAGGAAGCCTTAATCTAAGGAGTAAGCTTAAAGGATATCGAAAAAGCGTTAAATAAGAAATAACTAGTCGACCCGAGGGACTTTATACCCGAAAACCTATTACGGGAATTTAGCGACCTATTCGTGCCTAATAAAGTAAACTAATTACCGCTATACCGACTAAGAGTCGATTACGAAGTTAACCTTATACCTAATAGCGATGGGAAGGAGCTATTACTCCCTTAGGGGCCGCTTTATAATATATCGAGGGAAGAACTCTTAGTATTACGAAAAACACTTTCCGACCTAATAGATAAAGGATTTATCCGAGTTAGTAGTTCGGAAGCCGCGGCTCTTATCCTCTTTATAAAGAAACTAGGTAAAGGACTCCGATTCTATTACGATTACCGAGCGCTGAATACGATTACTAAGCGAGACTAGTACCTATTTCTTTTAATCGCCGAGACGCTATAGAACTTAAGGTAGGCGAAATAGTTTATAAAGCTCGATATAGTCGCCGCCTCCTATAAGATTAGGATAGCTCCCGGGTATAAATATAAGACTATATTCCGAACGCGGTTTAGGCTTTTTAAGTGGCTTATCTACCTATTTAGCTTAAGTGGAGCTTTAACGACCTTCTAGTAATATATTAATAAAACGCTATAACGCTTCCTAAATAACTTTATTACCGCTTATATTACTAATATTCTAATCTACTCTAGTAGGAGCCGGGCCGACTACGAAACGAAGGTTAAGTAGGTACTCCGCGCGCTCGCGGACGCCGGCCTAAACCTAAACCCGTTAAAATACGAGTTTAGCGTAAAGATAGTAAAGTACCTAGGATTTATAGTTATTATAAGAAAGGACGTATTATATAACCCGGAGAAGTTATAAGCTATCCGC